GCTGTTGACTCTGGTGGTGACTTTTTTCTGCTAACCAAGTCAGGTTGGATTTATCATATAAAAATTAGCATGCAAATACTTGGTAGGAAACTTAATTGTTTAATAAGGCTATGTTTTTTAGTGTATACGGAAGATCACAATCACTTTTAATTGTTAAATATAAAGTTTCGTAATAGCCGTGTGTCGTTGATCAAACTCAAGTTATAAAATCTTTTCAAACTTTATGATTACATCGTTAGCCTTTAGATGTCACATCTAATAGCAAGAGATGAATGTCACCTTCTTGCACCAGAGGCGAACAGTTCTATAAGTACACATTCCTTTATTATTATGAATAGTATTGTTATTGTTGTTGTTTATGTTTGGGTGCACATTTTATTTTCAAATTCCAATTTATAAAAAGATCCAAGATTTTGGAAATGGCATATGTGTTGCACGACGCACTAATTTAGGGACATCATGCGTGCATGAGGGTTAAAAGTTATTAGATACCTGATAATCGTGAATATAATTCTTGCACAATTGAAGGTTAAACGTGCCATATTCTACAAGATAATGACCATAAAAAATCTACTGTCAATGTTGTCCAGTTGATTGGGAACAGCAAGAGAGGGAGAATATGCACATGTTCTTGTGGACAAATTTATATACTAGTTTTTACACACAAAACTGGGTTTCATGGCTAAAGTTCACAAAAAAAAAAAAGTTTATACTCAAAACTGGGATGACATATTCGGAATCTACCCTTTCTGATTTGGTTGTAAACTCAAATAAAATCAAAGTTGATAAAGTAGTTTTGAGCTTAATTACAGTTTGTAGTTCAGAGATTTACACTCTTTTTATATAAATTGCCAACGGCTACCAGCTCAAAATCCCTATTCGTTGCAAGAATTTTTTAAACATTGATAACTGAAGCTAAAAAAACAATCAAATAATGAAATAAAATAAAATCTTAACAATTGTGGCACACAAGTCTAGCATCTAGAGTCAGGGATTGGATCAGACAATTAATGAGTTTTGCTATTGAGTCCTCATCAACTTGAAGATTTGCCTATAATAAATATTGAACGAGGAGGCTTGATTGACCAATGAAAAGGTTTTGATAGGATTTGAAGGCGATGACGACCTAAAGATTGGATCCACAGATTATATAGGCTTAACCGGTTTTCTAGCATAATTAGGCTTTTGGTGACCTAAACTAGGGATCTAAGGCTGAATTGGACACTAGAACTAGGTTAAGGTTGACGGATCATAGAATTAATGCTTTCTCTCAATCTATGGATCTCTTGTTATTGACTAATATTGTGTAGAACTGTCTGATTCCATTTGATTGATAGTGTATCTTGAAACATGTTATGTGGATCATTCATTTTCAAATATTTACAAATTCAAAATATTTTGCACTATTTTTAGAGCTTCAAATTTTATAGTTTAGGTCTAAAACATATCTCAAGCCATCGCAAAGGCTTTTAACACTAAAATTGTATTTTTCAACAGGGTTTTGAGGTACCACTTTACCTTTTCTCATAAAACCTAGCACCACACTCTTTCTACCATCCCTTTGTCTGCAAAGTGTGGGTCATGAACAAACCAAGGCTTCAACACAACGATTACATAATATATGAGATAATGCTACTTTCATTTCGGCATTGCTTTTTGAGTATTTTACAAGTTTTTTTCTCTCTATTGTGATCTCTTCTCTTTACTTCTTGCTTTCAAATGCCTCAAAATACAAATTCAATTGCTCTTGATTGAAACACTTCCATAAAAATGAACACACACAAAAATATAAGAAAGAATATGTTAGGGTTCTTTCTCGTCTCTCCTTTCCTTCATTTCTCTTCTTAATGAGGCTTAAAATACAGAAGCATGCTCTCTCTCTCTCTC